AAATGGCAACCCACTCCAGTGTTCTTACCTGGAGAATCCCACGGATGGCAGAGCCTAGTGGGCTACCATCTATGGGGTTGCACAGAGTCGGACATGGCTGATGTGACTTAGCAACAATAGCAATGACTGATGGTATTGAGCATTTTTTCATGTGCTCTTTGACATCTGATATCTTCTTTAGATAAATGTTTCTTCAAATCCTTTGCCTATTTTTAAATTGATGTCTTTCTACTCCTGATTTTTGTCAGTCAGTATTTGATTTATTACTGATAAATATTCTTTGTATATTCTAGATTTTTTATCAAATATGTGATTTGAAATTGGTTTCTCTCATTCCAGAGCTTGTCTTTTCACATTCTTGGTGGTGTCAATTGCCCCACAGAAGTTTTAGATTTTTATATAGTCCAATTTATTTTTCCTTTTGTTGCTTGTACTTTTGTCTTATATTTAAAAAATCACTAATTCAAGGTCATGGAGATTTATTCTTATTTATTTATTTATTTTTTTAGTGTTATGGTTTTAGCTCTGATATTTAGATCTATAGTTCATTTTGAATTATTGTTTTTGTATGATATAAGATATAAGGGTCCAACTTTGTTCTTTTGCTGTTGTCCCAGCACCATTTGTTGAAAAGACAACTCTTGCTCAATTGAATTGTCTTGATATCCTTGTATTGATAGAAATTCAACTGACCACAAAGGGTTCTAAACTCTGTTTTCATTGATGTAAATGTCTTTCCTTGTACATCAAAACACTATCTAATTACAATAACTCTGTATTAAGTTTTTCAGTTGGGAAGTGTGAATCCTTCAGCTTTATTCTTCTTTTTCAAGATTATTTGGCTATTCTGGGTTCCTTGGATTTCCATATGAATTTTAGTGTCACCTTGTCCCTTTCTGCAAATAGCTGAGATTTGTTCAAGGGATTGTTTAAGTCTAAATCAATTTGGGGAGGACCCCTTAGGTTTTGTATTCATAATACTAAACTTAAGTTCTGCTTGTTTTATCCTTTCTTAGAAATATTTTCTTTTAGTTTTGTATAAGATTTTACACATACTCATTAAGGTATAATTCTTACAGTGTATCCATGTTAAACTAATCATGAAGAAATATGAAGTGATTATTTTTTGTATTGTTAAAAGCACAAAACTGTATTAACTAAATACTGCTACAGCAGAAATCTCTACATACAGAGGAATTATGTAGAGGAGTATCAGAGGAGGCATCAAATTATTTCACAGCTGTGTAAATTAAGCAAAATTCTGTCACAGAATTCCCCTAAGTCCTTGGAAATTTTGTTATGCTTTGTTGTTTTTTCTGATGAGATTCATTTTGTATTTGTAAGTATTAGCAAAGGTTTTGGGGGGGAAATTAGATATGAACAATGCCTTTATGGCCTGTAGGTAAGGATTACAAAAATAAACATTTTATAGGTTTGTAACGCTTTAGATTCCATTGGTCCCTAGAATAAGATGTGGGCAGCTATTTGATAGTTTATGTAGTTTTGTTTACCAAGTGAATACCATAATCCAGTGGTTCTTGACATTGGCTGCTATGCATTAGAATTCCTAGAGAGCTTTTGAAAATCCAGATGTCCCATATAGCACATCAGACCAATTAAATCAGAATCTCAGTGGGTGGGGCAGGGTGTTGGGACTTGGACATCAGAATTTATCAAAATTGTCCAGGTAAGTCCACTGTGTAGCCAACATTAGCCATGGTGATAGACATTTGAAAGTCCCAGTAAGATTTTGCTCAGGAAAATAGAGTTATCCTGAAGCAGCAATTAAGGCATGCCATCTGAATTATATGCCACTTTGTTACATCAGCCACTGTGAAAAGTGTTATGGAATTATCAGGATGTTATGATTTGGATTTGCCTTTGCCTGTGAACTAATGATAAAAGATTATCTAATAATCACCAGAATTCCAAAATTTGATGCTAAGAAGATTAATTATGTTCTACCATATAGATAGGGATTTGAGTTGAAATGTACATTGCTAAAGGGTTAAGTTTGATAAACAACCAGTTTATTGGAAAAATTACTGGGTTGAGAGTTTGGGAACCCGTGTTCTTGTGCTCACTCTGCTGTGTAATTTTGAACCAGGGTATTTAGGTTATAGTTCATGCAATGAGGTGATTGAGCTGGAGGCGATCACCGAATTATTTATTCAGTAAATTGAATTGCCTGTTGTGAGCAAGGCAAGAATGTGGGGATGGAACAGAACGTTGAAAAGCTCACAGAGGACAGACGAACATGCCAAATGTGTAAGTGTAGCCATAGTGAAATGTTCAGACTGAATTCAGGGAGCACAGTGCTTCCTTTGGTTCAGTACTGGGGCAAATGTGATAGTTTTCTGTTTAACAACCATTCCCAAATCCTTTCTTCCTTGCTGGCAGAATGCATCTCTGAAATAGACTGAAAAGGCCAGATGTTTCTTTTTTAGCTACCCTTGCAGGGGAGCATGGCCCCAGTGCTGGTCAGTGAGACCAGCGGAGGAATCTGTCAGTTTTCCTTAACAAAAGTTAGCAGTTGAGAAAATTCCCTTCCTTCCTGTCATGACCTTGCTGCATGAGGATGTGATACGTAGTGATACAAAGATCATCTTAAGATTAATGGCCTGAGAATAAAGGCCTCCATGCTGGTTATAGTCAAAGAGAAAATACATCCTGAATTTTTTATGTCAACACTGAGCTACTAAACTAAACCTTCAGCCCACCTCCCTGTGGAGTTATTAAATGAGATAAAAATACTTAGTGTTCGAACCCTTGGTGCTTTGAGTGTGATCTGTAGATCATTGGTCATCTGGGAGGCTGATTAGAAATACAGATTCTTAGTGCTTGCGTCAGACCTACTGCATGAGTCTGCACTTTAATAAGATCACTAGATGGATGACATGCACGTTAAAGCTTGCAAAGCACCAGTTTAAACCACTTTGAACTGGGTATTCTGTTATATGCAGTTGAAAGCTTCCTTACTAATATAAGTACATTATAGTTTGCTGAAAAGACTTCTGATTCAGATGTAGGAAGTTGCAAGAGACTTCTTATTCTCACTAAAACAAGCAATATAAACTACGTAATACAAGATCTTAAGACACATGTGGCCCATAATCAAGAAGACAGTCAATAGAAGAACCAGAGATGATCCAGATATTGGTGTTATGAGTCAGAAACTTTGTGACAGAAATACCAGATCTGGTGGACAAGGCACACCACATGTATTAACAGATGAGGAATTTTGGCAGAAACGTGGAAACTTTTTTTTTTTTAATAAGAAACGGAAATACTAAAAAATAAGAAATATAATATCAGAAATTAAGATAGTTTAGATGGGCTCAGCTGAAAATACCTGACAAGCTTTGGCCAGATTCCTGGGAGCAGTGTGCATTGTGGGAGGCTTCCTTATGAGTTTACATAAGTAAACATGTGAGTTTCCTTATGAGTTCCTTATGATTGCTGTTTACCTTGAACAAGAATTATACACCACTCACTGCCCTGATTATTAAGCCCACAAATATTTCTTTTGATAGAACACTGCATAGATTTACCAGGCCACTTGGCCTCACATATTTTCCTGGTAATTTTCTAATAGAAAAGAAAATAATTGAACTTCTGTGAAGACATGCCTTCCTAGATTACTTAGTTACAATTTTTACCTCTCTCAGGAAGTAAATGAGAGGCAGTCTTGATAACTTGGTGCCACTGTGTGTAAGTATATCTTATTTGGTCAGCTTGTGCTGCAGTTATATCATTATCATTTTCCATTCCCTTCCCATTTTCAATTTTTCATTGAACATATGGTAATAAAATATCAAATTTTCACATTCCAAGTACTATGGGTTTCTAGAAGAACTATTTTCTTAAGCAACCTTGTTACTGCCCTTCAAGGCTTAGAAGAACAGTGCCAGAAGGTTTCAGATGATCACTCAGTACATACAGAAATCTCTTCTCAATTAGAACTTAAATTTTTGGAAGTTGTTTAAAATGTTTTATTTTATTTTTGGCTGCATTGGATATTCATTGCTATGCAAGGGCTTCCTCTGGTTGGGGCAAGTGGGGCTGCTCTTCCTTGTGGTGCACAGGCTTCTCATTGCGGTGGCTTTTCTTGTGTGTTTTTTTTCATTTATTTTTATTAGTTGGAGGCTAATTACTTTACAGTATTGTAGTGGTTTTGCCATACATTGGCATGAATCAGCCATGGATTTACATGTGTTCCCCATCCCGATCCCTCCTCCCGCCTCCCTCCCCATCCCATCCCTCGGGGTCTTCCTTGTTGCAGAGCCCAGGCTCTAGAGCACACGGGCTTCAGTAGTTGCGGTGTACAGGCTTAGCTGCTCTGTGCCACGTGGCATCTTCCCCAACACTGAACACGTGTTCCCTGCATTGGCAGGCAAATTCTTAACCACTGCACCACCAGGGGAGTCCAAATTTTTGGAAGTTAAATTGCCTCTACCATCCCCCAAGGGACTCTAGCAGTCCTTTGCTTAAGAATAAGAAAGTGAATTGTTTTATTTCCTTAATCTGTTTATAGATTTTTTATGATTTAGTTTTTTTTTTTAATATTTGTAGAGTAGCTCATTACTACTCCAAAAAGAGCCTATTTTACTTTCACAAATGGGAAAATTTCTCAGTTCTTTTTTTTTTTTTTTGATTCTGACTCTTATGGCCAGAATATTGCATTGGAAACTTATAAATACATAGTGAAGAGGAAACAGAATTATTATAGATGTTAATTTTTTTTGCTTTCCTTATTTATTTTTTAAGAGTTGTTAATAATGAATTGTATTTATTTTGTGGGGTATCACCAATTACAAATGCTGTGATAGCTTCAAGTGAACAGCAAAGGGACTCAGCCATACATACATATGTTGTAGATGTTAATCTTGACTTCTTATTTCAGCTTCAATTGTACATACTTCTAATAATTTCTGTTAGAACAAAATGGTAATGAGTTACTAGCAGTAATAGTGAAATTAACAAACTGCTTTATTTTGCAGGGAAAATATTTATCCCCAAACAGAAACCTGTACAGACTTTTACAGAAGAAAAAGTATCTCTTGATCCAGAACTAGAAGAAGCTTTGACAAGTGCTTCTGATACAGAATTGTGTGACCTCGCAGGTATCTCCTAAAATAAATTAATTTGTGAGTGAGAATAGAGGGGGAAAATGCCAACACACACCTGTATTCACTATACAAATGCTGGCTTTTCCTAGCGAAGTGGTCCTGAATATGTAACCATGTATTTGGCTTTGTTTTTAACACTATAAATCTGACATATAGGATTTTGTTTCTTTAAATTCTCTTAATGATGAAATTTTAATGTTAATGGAATTTATTGATTATTGGATGTCTTTTTTCCCCGTTGTTGCCATCTTTGAAAGTCTTTGTAAAAGACTTTCATCAGCCGGTGCTCAGCTAAAAGCTGTCTCCAAGGTCAACTAGTATCCCATTTTATCAGAAGACCCAGAAATGGGTAACTGGAAGTTAGATAAAATAGTCGGTCCTGAGCTATAATCCCACTTTCCTAACTTTTCTGAAGTTAGATGGAACTCCAAACCTCCCTGTGATTATTCATTACCCATTTCTTATCTGGACCAGTGTCTGCCCCCAGCTACCTCCACCCACACCCATTTTCCTAGATAGAAAAATATGCAAGGGAAAATCTTAGTACCAAATAACCCCAAGAATTAACCAGAGAAGGACAGTCAGGGTGTGGTACCACACCTGGAGCCAGGTATCTTATTGCCTGGGGGGCTGAGGACTAATGCATTTGTAAATAGTACATTCATCAGAATGGAATGGGCCAGTACAGTTGTAGCTTCTGCCTCATTTGTGCAAAAGGGCCGCAAAAACAAAACCAAATTTATTTCTAGTCCTAACGTATGTGATTTTAATCTTAAATGTGAGAATTCAACTGTACTTTTTAGTACTCTGCTCTCAGCTGAAGTACAAATGTAAATTAATATTAAGAGTCAAGGTTAAGCTGAAAAATCTGTTTTTTATCGCATTCTGTTTGGAGAAACTGTGAGAAGGGTAGATGGATAGCAGTAGATCATTTCCATTTTCTCTCTTGGCCACCAGATGGAGCTAAGCACAGGTTTACATTTAGGGTCAAGCTGGCTCGAGCTGTGTCTAAATTCAGAAGTGGGGAGAAAGTACAAGGGTATTATTGATAAGAAAGAGATTGTAGGGGATTTTTTTTAATCATGTTGTCTCCTTTTTTGGGCTACAAAATGTGTGTTTAATTGAATATGAAAATGTCCAGAGAATATTAAAATCGCTGATAGAAATTTGGGGGTATAAAATAATGTTCTTTTTCTATATTTATAGCTATTCTTGGGATGCACAATTTGATAACGAATACACAGTTCTGCAATATAGTGGGAAGTAGTAATGGTGTCGACCAAGAACATTTTTCAAGTAAGAACTTATGTGAATTCTAATCTTTTGTTAATTATGTTTTGTTTCCTCCATGTAATAACTTCAGTATATGCATGCCAAATGTTACGTATGTGTACTGGAATCCTGAGATTCCAGTTATATGGTATTGACAATAGAAAAATCATTGAAAATAGAATATTAAATATTGTATGCTTAAAGTGTCAGCAGACATAATAGGAACCACTCTCACCTTACTAAATAATGCTAATGGTAAATGCTATAAAAACCAGTCAAACTTGACTTTAATTGACATTTTGTTTTCAGTGTTCCTGATTTTCAGGAAATCTACAACAGTGCTGACAAAGAAACTATATTATAAAATCAGATTCAGGAGAAGGCAAAGAATTCTTCAGACCCTAAACCTTTTTGTCTGACGCAGTGTTAGACAGACTAAAGGAAAGCTTTTTAAAAAAATTTATGTATAAGACATTTTAAAACTACCAAAATAATGCATATTGTGTAGTAAATTCTAAGTAAGTGTCTATTCACAGTCATCCTGCCTTCTACTTCCTACACCACCTCCCCGCCCTTAGCCATGACTGTTAACTATTTGGAATGTATCCTTCCTGACTTCGTTTTATGCTTATATAAATTTACGTATGTACACATGTTATAAACGGTCTTTTCCTTTCTTTTACAAATATGGGATCATATAAGAGGCATTTCTTGTTACTTAAGTTTTCAGTAATAATTCTGCTGGCTAATTTTTTTTTTTAATGCTTATCATCGGCCATGTTCTTCTGTGCACAACTCTTGAATGTAAATTGTTCTCAGTTCTCACAACAGTTCTACGAACTAAGTATTATCATCTCTAATTTGCCTGTGAAGGAGCTGAAGTTTTATTTATTTATTTTTATATCATTTATTTCTATCAATTCTGCTTCCCATGTCCTAAGCAGGTAAGTCAAGTTCTCCAAACATGTTACCATCGTGAGTGAGATTTCTACCTTTAACAGTCTAATAAATCATATTTTCATCTACGAGTATCACCCTCCAGATATGGTGACTCAGGGTCAAGATATGGAGACACACTTGCAGTTCAGCAGATGAATTTCTAGCCAATCATTATCTGAGTCTGGAAAGTCTTTCCTTTTTTTTTTTTCCATTTGTTTTTATTCGTTGGAGGCTAATTACTTTACAGGAGCTGAAGTTTTAGAATGATGAAACTAGGTTTAATATCCCACGAACTTGGTGGTGAGGATTTTAATCTATGCTATGTAATATATCGCTTAGCAACATATCACATTTCCTAGTAAGTGCATATAGATTTACCTCATTCAAACATCTTTATAACATTCTATTTTATGAATGTTCTATAATTGGCCATTCTCCTGTTTTGTTTTGTTTTTTTTGCTATTTACTGTGGAAATGTTCAAGCACACATAATAGAAGAGGGAATAACATATCCATTATCCAGCTTCAACTGTTTTTCACATCTTGGCAGCTCTGCTTCGTCCACTGACTGCCTCCCTTCCATCCATTCTACTTTGTTCCCTGAAAAAAATTTTTTTTCCCTGAAATATTTTAAAGCAAATCCTGTTTGTTTATATTACTTCACACATTTCCATATGTGTCTCTCACAAAAGCTCTTCTTGTAATGTAACCACAATGCCATTATCAAACTTAGATTATGAATAATTCTTTCATGTTGTCTAATAACCAGTCCTTGTTCAGATTTTCCATATTCTCTCAAAAATGTCATTGCACAGCTGGTTTGTTCAAATCAGGATCCAGAAGGGTCACACATTGCATTTGGTTTTCTTTTTTTTTTTTTTCAGTTCCTCTTAATTTCTTAACAGTTGGTCATATTAGAACTTTGCGTTATGAGATTTTATCATATTAGAACTTCATCTTGAACATTGCTGAAAGTAAATGGGATCACCATTTGTGTCAGCTTGTATCAGCAAATATATTTTTGTGATAAAGATATCTTGTGATAAAGATAAAGATATCTTGTAAAACACCAGGAGGCAAGAGGCAGTGAAAATACTCATTTTTGAAGGTTAATACATTGCAAACAAATTAAATGCTGAATTATGTTTGGTACTTATAGTCAGTAAAATTTTATTTCAGTGCTTTGTGTGTCAGCACATAAATGATCTTTTAGAAATTTGGGGAAAGAAACTTATAAATTAGTTCTACTGAATGTGTGTGTGTGTTTGTGCTATGTGTTTCCAAGTTAATATATGCTCTCACTATAATAGTGTCAATCAATGACATGCTTGCTCTTTCCATTTGTTACTGCAGATGTGGTAAAAGGGGAAAAGATTCTTCCAGTATTCGATGAGCCCCCAAATCCAACCAACGTTGAAGAAAGTTTAAAGAGGATTAAAGAAAATGATGCTTGTCTTGTTGAAGTTAATTTGAATAATATAAAGGTAGGTATGATAAGCAGGCAGAAAGCTGTTTTGAGTTGCTTTGACTCAGTTGGATCCAGGCTGAGAGCTGGGTAGTTTTGTTATAGGCTGATCCCTTCTACTTAATGGTAAAGTTTTTACTTTTAGTAGTATGCTAACAGAGATATCTTCGATTTTAGAAGTTAAGGTATAACAGTATTTTCTGATTTACTTTTTAAAGGCTATCATATATTAATAGATGTCAGTATATCTCTTGGGCTTCCGAAGTACTGCCCTCTTATAAGAGCATTTTAGTCTTTCAGTTTTTGTCTTTTTAATCAGGTCCCTTGATATATAATGTAGATGCCGTGAAATTCTCCCTGTCTAGTGTGCACTTCATTGAGTTAAAGCAAGTGCATACAATTGTACCACGACCACCACCACCACCACTGGCGGATGTAGAACATGTCACACCCCTTTGTCATCATTCCCTGCCACCAGCTCCAGCCCCTGACAACCGTGAATTTGTTTTCTTTCCATTATCGTTTTGCTTTCTCCGGCGTTTCATATAAATGAAATCATATAGTGTGTAGCTGTTGAGTCTGGTTTCTTCACTTAGCATGACGCCTGTGAGAATCATCCGTGCTGTTGTGTGTCTCCTCACTGGTTTGCTGTTTCGTTTCTGAGCAGTATTTCTTTGGATGTGCCGCGGTTTGTGTGTCCATTCACCAGCTGATAGACTTACGAGACTTAAGAGTTGCTTCCAGTTTGGGATAATTATAAATAAAGCCACTATACACATTCACATACAGGTTTTTGTGTGAATTTATGTTTTCATTTCTCTTGATTACACACCTAGAAGTAGGCTTTGTGGGATCTTACTGGAATTTTTTTAATGCAACTCTTCCGTGAAGTAAAAAAAGAACTGAGTAGGGAGAGCATAGGGATGATTAATTACCAAAGAGTAAACTCAGATGATCTCTTAGGTACTATTAGCCATTGTATAATAGCCTTGTTACAGATTCCTCATTTTAAATGTTAATTTATCTGAATTGAAGGCAGAGAGAACATCTGGAAATTACAGGAACCTAGGGAATAAGACCTCTATGCTCTTTCTGTGGGTGTTCCTTCCTGTGAGTGGAGGCAGAACAGCCTTGGAAAAAGCTAATGTGCCTAGTTGATCACTAATCTTTTTTTTTTTTTAGTTCTCTGTATCTTGGTCTCTAAATCAATAGTAATGATCTGAAAATAACCAGGCTACAGGAAATTGAAGTCTTGATACTAAGAGGGAAAACAGATGTCTCCTAAAACTGTCTCTTTCCTCATTTCAAGTTAGTCTCTTAACACCTTATAGCTTGTGACTGAGAACAGTATGTCATCTGCCTCAGAAATCACTATAAGTAGATTCCCACATCTTTCTCTTTGTAGAAAAATAAAACCATTTTAAATACTCATAATACAAATAATTAAAAAGAGCATAGTGAGATTCTCTTTAACCTCGTGCTAGAAAAGCAGTGATGTATGCTTTGCTGTATGCTAACAGTTTGTGCAGATGTACCATACTAGAAAAGTCAGAGATGAGGTGGCTGAGTTGTTAGTTTTCATTTGTAGGCCAGTGGTTATATGTTACATAATTTCTGAGTACATTTTAAGCAAAAGAGAAACTAGAGATGTCTTTGATTATTGGACTGAATTTACTGAAAACTAAAATGTAATAATGTTTCACATTTTTGTCTTTCAAGAATATCCCAATACCAACCCTAAAAGATTTTGCAAAGGCTTTGGAAACCAACACACATGTGAAACATTTCAGTCTTGCAGCCACCCGAAGCAATGACCCTGTTGCTATTGTAAGTAAGCTGTGACTAATAATGTTGAAATTATGACTGTAATACCAGGGTATGTTACAAAGGTGATTAAACTGGTTTTATGAAAAGATTTGCTTTTTTTAATTCACTATACTTCAATAAAAAATAAATTTAAAAATAAATAATTTTAGTGTAGTTTAAAAAATTATGTGTTCTAAGAGCTACTGTTAATAACCACGAAGTTTAGCGGTCAATAAAAGCAAGTATCAGTTTAAAAAAAATTTTTTACTCTTTTTTCAATTTCTGATTACTCACTATTAGGCAATACATTATTTACTATCCTCTTATTTTTTCCATGTATTTCCCTTCTTTGAAAATTTTAAAACATGAATGGAGTCATACAGTGTAAGCTGTTCTGCAACTGAAATTTTCACTTTAATATATCTTAGAGGTCTTTCCATATCAGCATATAAAGTTCTAAATCATTCTTTTAAACCTGTAGAGGGTATCATTTATGGATCTACAGTGTTGGGGTTTTATTATGTGTCTGTTGAAGTGATCATGTGGTTTTTGTCCTTTATTCAATTAATATATATTACATTGCTTAATTTTTGTATGTTAAATCAATTTTGCATTTCTGGGGGAAGTCCCACTTGACCGTGATATAAACCCTTTTCTTCTTGACTTTGAGGGTATCAATCCATTTCATTCTCCTTCTGCCTGCTTGGACATTCTTCCTTTGGTCCCTAAACTGGTTCCTTCTCATCTCCCCAGCATCTGAACCTCTAAACGGCTCAGAGCTTGGCCCTAGTCCTTGTTCTTTTCTTCGTCTACACTCACTTTCCGGGTGATCTCATTCTGTTTCACTGCTATATATTATCCATGTATGCCAGTGACTCCCAACATTATTATCTCCAGTTCATATCTCTCCCCTGAACTCCAAACCCATGTTCAGCTTCTCCTTTACAGCTTTACTTTACTTCTCCTTAACAGATGTCTCAGACCGAAATCCCAAACCAGACTCCTGACTTCCATCCCATACCTGCCTCTCTCACACTCTTCCCTATCTCACTAAATGGAAACATCATTCTTTCATTTGCTCAAGTCAAGATAATAATGATGGAGTAACTTCCCTTTCTCACAACCTTAAATGTACATCCCACTGTGTCTTCAGATATTTCCTTTATATCCAGCCACTTCTCACCACCTTTACTGCCCCCACCCTGGTCCAGGCCACTGTCTTCTCTCATCTGGATTATTGCAGTGGCCTCCTAACTTAACTGCATGCTTCCACCTTACCCATCCCAAAGCCAGCTCTTTATACAGCATCACAAGTGACTCTTAAAACTTAAATGATTTCATTCCTATACTCAGAAGCCTCCAGCAGATCCCTGTCTCACTAAGTAAAAAGCAGATTCTTTCAGTGGCCTAGTAAGGCCTTCGCTGAGGAGACTCACCTCCTTTCTTGCTGTTTCTTTCATTTTACTCCAGCTATACAGCCTACTTGCTCCTGTCTCCCTAAAGATGCTCCACGTAGTTTCACTTCATCACCTCAATTATTTGAGTCCTTGCTCAGATGTCACCTTCCAGGGGAGGCCTTTCCTGAGCCAGCTTTTCCCCCAGCACTCCCCATCTACCCTGATTTGCCTTTTTCCCTCCTCTATAGCCCTTTTTACCATTTGACATTATGTTTTGCTTTCTTATTTATTATCTGGGCCCCCCACTAAAATGTAAGTTCCATGAGGTAGAGACTTGTGTGTTTCACTTCAGAGTCTATAAAGCAGTGCCTATCAAAAATAGGCCACTGGTAACATTTTAATAAATGTGGGTATGGATGGATGGATAAGGAATTTACCTCAGGTCACATTGCCAGTTGTTGCTAATAGGAAGTGCAGGAGTGTAGATACCTGCCCCAAGTTCTTTATAGTGTGGCTGCCCCTGTTACCTTTAACTTGACTTTAAGTTTGATCTTACCCCATGTTCTCTGGAGTTTGGCCTTTCTTTTGACCCCTCTGCAGGACTGTATTAATAAACTCACATTCATATTCTTCTGTTACCCCCCTCCCCAGCCCTTCTCTTTCCCCTCTGCTCACTTACAGTCTTTGTTAATTAATCAGTATAGCGTTTATTAAGCATTGGGTCAAATGCCTGGCACTGCCACATCTTGTGAGAAGTTGTAATGCAGGCAGATGGAAGACACTGTTCTCTGAGGCGGTGAATATTTAGTTGGGCCCTTCTTTTCCATGGTTCTTAAGCTCTAGCAGTTCCAGTTATTTGCGTCCTTTCGGTTCTTGCTTTGGAAATTAGTTCATAATTTCCCCTTATTTGCACTTCACTGTAACCTAGCTGCCACAGGACCCAAGTAAGAAAACTTGTTCCAGAGAGACACTGGTGAAGTTATTCCTACACAGACAAAGTCGGAGAAACATGGGAGAAAGAAGCAAGAAGCAGGAGCATGAATGAATAGCAGTAGAGAGTGTTACCAATAGAGAATTACACATGACAACAAATTTAAAGTTTGAGACCAAGTACATGTGAAAAGTAAATACATGTGAGATCTCTGAGGTGGCCTGTCAAGCTTAAACAATCTAATAAGAAACATTCAGGCAGCTGTATTGATTTGTGTATTTCTTCAGGCTTGTTCAGTATTTATTTACCAGGTGCTGTCAAACTAATCTCCAACTATTTTCTGTAATTTCCAGGCTTTTGCAGATATGCTAAGAGTGAACAAAAATTTGAAGAGCTTAAATATGGAATCCAACTTTATTACAGGAATTGGGATTCGAGCACTGATCGATGCTTTGAAAGAGAATGAAACCCTGATGGAACTGAAAATTGACAACCAGGTCGGTGTTCTGCAGCAGCAGCTTTGGAGAAGCTGCAGCCCACACTCCGGGCAGGGCTTGGGGACTCAGGAGGCAGGCAGAAGGAAGGCTTTCCAGGGAGCCCTTGGGAAGGCAGAGGCCTGAAAAGGGACGAGAACTTTTGAGGCATCCAGAATCTTAATGTATAGAAAGGTATACAAGCAGCTCTCCCTGGTTGGTCTGTAGAGGATTGAGATGGCTAGCGGTTTTGAACTAGAAGGATTCTTAAAGGTGACAGTCCAGCCTCAAAGTTTTCAGTTCTTAGGTAGCAAGAGCCACATAATAACCTTTTTGTGGCTGTAACATATCAGTCCCAGACATGAGGTGAACAGAATAGTTCCTGAAAAACAGAACAGCTTCCGTCCAACCACATTGGGTGCTGACCCCCTAAGATATCGCTGGATCACCCAGAGCCAGATGCACTTTTCTTTAGAGAAGTAGAGAAACACATGTTAGAAATTATTCCATCCAGAGTGTAGTTAACTAAAAATAAAATAACATATACATTTGACTGAAATACTTCAGTTTATTTTATTTGAAAAGTGACCAGTTATTTTTTAAAAATACGTGGTAAATGACTCCCTCAATTCTTCAGCGTAAATAAATTTTGTAGATTATGAAGACAGAAAGAATTATATCTTAAAATTTAACCAGAATGCTATTTTAATCAATGTTTCTAATCTTTTATTGAGATTTAATTCACATACCATAAAATTTACTTCTTTAAAGTATACAATGGAACGGTTTTAGTACATTCATAGTTATATAACCATTACCATTGCCTAACTCCAGAACGCTTCCATCACCCCAAAAAGAGATTCAAACCCACTAGCAGTCAATTCCTATTCACCTCTTCCACCAGCCTCTGGCAGCCACTGATCTACTTCCTGTCTCTATGCATTTGCCTATTTTGGACAGCTCATTTAAGTGGAGTTATGTAACATGCAGTCTATTGTGTCTGCCTTCTTTCACTTAGCAAAATGTTCTGGAGGTTTATTCATGTGGTAGTATGTTATCAGTATCTGTTCTTTTTTTATGGTTGAAGAATCTATTATACTTGGATAGTTTCCACTTTTTGGATTGCAGAAATATGTTTCTATGAACATTCAGGTGCAAATTCTTATGAATATGTTTTCATTTCTCATGGGTATATAGCTAGGAGTGTAATTGCTAGGTTACATGATAACCCTGCACTTAACTTTTTGAGGAATAGCTGAATTGTTTTTCATAATAGCTGCACCATTTTACATTCCTGCCAGCCTGTCTGAAGCTCCTCATTTTTCCATATATCTTGCCAATACTTATTATTGTCCATCTTTTTGATTATAATCATCCTAGTGAGTATGAAATGGTATCTCATTGTAATAATCCACATTTTTTTGTTTTCTATATGATTATATACTAAACTTACTTTTTTTCTCTTATATGTTGTAAGAATTGGGAAAATATTTTTAAAGAATCAGCATGAACATGAATGTCTTAGATTTGACCTATGTTTTGAACTAGCTTATTAATACTATTTTTTATTTCTAATTATTCCAGAGGCAGCAGCTGGGGACAGCTGTAGAATTGGAAATGGCCAACATGCTTGAGGAAAATACCAATATCCTTAAATTTGGATATCAGTTTACTCAGCAAGGACCCCGAACCAGGGCAGCTAATGCAATAACAAAAAACAATGACTTAGGTAAGACATACTTAGCATGAAATCAAAATTCTGAACTGTAATGTTAAGCTAATGTATTGGAGAAACTTTTGTTTTAATAAGTTTTTACACAGGAATGTTACTTGGCCTTTGTTTCTGAAATTTGCAGTTCTTTTAATACTGACTGAATTAGAGTTCAGTTTAAATGAAGTTGTAGTGATTATTAGATTAGTGGGTGAGAACCTACTTCGTAGCTTTTAGTGAAATATGAAATAGTTTTCTACAACAGATACTTTGTTTTCAGTTATAAGTTACCTCTTAGAGCTATTAAAACAAAGATTTCAACATTATAGGAAAATTTTGCCCTTTTGATGAAACAAGAAAGTTTCACCCTTTTAGAAATTCAGTTTCACACGGTAATATATAAAATAGTTGTAGTTTTTTAAGTTTGGTGTTTCTTATTGAAGGGGCTTCCGTGGTAGCTCAGACCGTAAAGAATCTCCCTGCAACATGGGAGACCCGGGTTCGATCCCTGGGCTGGGAAGATCCCCTGGAGAAGGGAATGGCTACCCACTCCAGTATTCTTACCTGGAGAATTCCATGGACAGAGGAGCCTTGCAGGCTACAGCTCATGGAGTTGCAAAGAATCAGACACAACTAAGCGACTAACACTTCTCATTGAAATATTTTTTTAAATGCGTGCAGAGAATTAAAATACTTTTTTAAAATTATTTATTTTAATTGGAGGCTAATAACTTTACAGTATTGTAGTGGTTTTTACCATACAGTCGCATGAATCAGCCATGGGTGTACATGTGTCCCCCATCCTGAACCCCCTCCCACTTCCCTCCCTCCCCATCCCATCCCTCAGGGTTGTCCCAGTGCACCAGCCCTGAGCACCCTGTCTCATGCATCGAACCTGACTGGCAATCTATTTAAAGGGAGTCACATTCCACTGTGATGCAGTTCTTCTGGCTTTAGCCATATTTGAATTTGCATTTTTAAAAGATTTCTGGAGCAGAAAAACCTTTAATCCAGATCACTGTGAAAAATATTAGTTCAGACTTTCTGTCCTTTGATGACTCTAGTTTCTCATAGCAGATTTTAGCCTCTCTTTTTTTAAAAGGGAAATTTGATGTGTGTTTTTTATTTTAGATGTAGTTTGGAAAGTATGCTGATTATTTAGTATTTCTTCATTAGTTAGCTTCTGTTTTTTACACTTCAGGAATTTAATTTTGCCTTTTACAGCAGTGTTTCTCAAGTCTAACTGAACTTCATAGTTAGAAAACCTTAAGAACATACACCTTATTGGCTCTAAAAAGTTAGTTTTTTACTTACTAGGTTATACTTCATTCTAATAATCTATTTTATTTTCTAAGACTTTAAACTTTTGAAGGTCGGGGGCCATGTTTATCTTTTGAATCCACAGCTGTCTTTAAAACCACATCTGACAATAGTAGGTACTTAATAAAGATTTATTCAGTAGAAAAGAAAGTAGTAAAATTTGAATCCTGCTCAAAGTTGAATTTTCTTGTAACTAAGCAGCTTTCCTGGGACACTTTCCCAGAATGGTAGGTAGCAGAGAGTAGGAATGGAGAGAGAGTCTCTCCATTCTTCCTCTCCTCTGAAACCACCTTAGCTTTCCTGGGATCCCACCAGCATCCTTTTGCCCTAGCCGTCTGTCTCCTGTGTTCCTCCGAGAGGAGGTACCAGCAGCCGCCTGGCAGGAGCAGCACAGTGAGAGCCTGTAGGTATACAGCCTGCACCTGGAGGGGTGCCAGCCTCTCGGGGCTCAGCAGTTGTGCTCTTCTGCATGCATGTTGTGGCAGGTGCATTGTCCAGATCTCTCTCAGAAAGGCAGGCCTGATATCAGAGCCAGAAAGACTTTTGGCAGATGGAAGATGCAGGGCACAGATGAAAACAATTTCTTAGACTGCCTTCTGTCAACACTGAGAAGTTAACGAGTTGTGAATAGGCATGTGTAAGAGGATGAAGAGGCCATGTGGTCGGACACAAAGCTTGAGGCAAACGGCTTTGTGCTGGTAGCTCTCTAGGAAACCGCCTGCCCTCCCCACACTGTTTCATTCTGGTCCAAACCAGAGCTTCAGACATGGGTCTCAGGCATGAAATGAGAATAAGGATATTCCTGGAGTGAGGAATTGCATGGATAGAAGCTCAGATTTGGGACTAAGCAAGTTATTTATATGCTGGAGACAGCCCGCAGATTTTGAGAATTGACTCTCATAACAGGATGCAGGATCCAGAATAAACTTTGCACAAGTACTTGCTATTTGAAGCTAACAAAATGAAAATAAAATGCTGCCAGTGGATTAAGAGGGAGTACTGATAGAAGGCACTAAAGTTACATGGTGAGGAACTTAGATTTCTTTGGGATTTATGTGAAGGTATTTGAGAGCCATTATAGGCCACTCAGAGTGCATGATTAAAATGATGCTTCAAAAAAAAAAAAAATGATGCTTCAAAAACATGATTCTTACTACTCTTCTAGAGATGGAGAAGAAATGAAATCAGTTAGGATTTATTTGCAATTGACTAATCATGAAGTATGGAGAACTTATGTGAGGAGTGGAGTGGGTTTTGGAAAGAAATTGCTAAAGAATTGTGAATAGGGCCAAATTTATTAGTCTTTCATCCACAGGCTGAACTGAGGAATTGCTGAGGTAACATGTGGGCACCAGTGAGGAATAGGGGTCAGGAGTGGCTCTCTGCCTATCTTCCTCTGCTGTCTTGTGCTCATGGCAACAGCAGCCTACCTTCCATCCACCCTCAGCTGGTTTTACTTTTTACCCTGCACTTTGATCTCTGCCTGTAGATCAAGATGGCAAGCCTAAAGACTGTTTTCTTACAAGCATTCTAGTATATGGTAACTGGACAGAGATACCAGAGAACAAGATTTAACAACTTGTACAGCATCTCTGGGGCATATAATTTTCCTTCACCATGCAAATGGGGCTGTATCCTAGCTTTAGTGTCCCAATTTTGATAATGTCTCCCTCTCTCATTGTTTTCTTAGTCTCAACTTTTCATTGAAATAATCCTACCTACTCGCCATCTTTCCAGCTAAGAAGTATCACGGCTATAACAGCAAAGAGGTTATATGGTGTATGTGCATCATTCGATTGAACTCTGTCTTATGTTCCTATCTTGACACTCACTAACTACGTAATCAGTTTTCTATACTTTGTTCTACCTGTCCTATCAATCTTGTTTTTAATGTGCATTTTTAAAATAACATGCATTTTAATATCTGAAATGGTCTGCCAATAACATCCAAACACTACTGCAATTCAGAATTTTCTTGGAAATGTTCTACTTTAAAGAATGATATGATTTGCCTTTCAGATATATCCATGTGGTTCAGATATCTATATACATCAGTTAAGTTTGTATATGCAGACTCAGTTCTCCATTTGATTTCTTCCCCTAACATTTCAGTAAACTTGTTCTTTGTTAACATGGGCTAAAATTAGAGTTGAGGTGCACATAGTTAAATTATGTATATAAATGTTCATGGGGACCTGAAACTGCAGCCCTCCTTGTTTTTATTTTCTAGCCAGCGCCCAGCCAATAGCTGGACAGGCTTTTATGCACATCACTTGATTGTCCAGTATCATCTCTTAAAGGCCAGTGAACAGAAGCCAGCAGTCAGAACAACATGAGAGCAAGACCCGTAGCCTGGCCAGGAGGCCTGTGCACCTTTGGCTTTTCATTCCTCTGTTAAAACAGCCAGTTCAGGTTGAACAAAGGCAGGTGCCTTCCTGCTTGCTTCCACAGAAGAGAGTATAGAAATTAACAGACCAGCCATGTAACTTAAACAGAGGAACTTACTGGTAAGAGTATCCATTATGTGCACATGCAGATCCTCTAACTTTATAAAGGCTAAATTGGCTTTCCTCACCCTGAAAAGATGACTGGCCTCAATGGCAACCTACTCCAGTACCCTTGCCTGGAAAATACCATGGACGGAGGAGCCTGGTAGGCTGTAGGCTGTAGGCTGAATGCTTTCTATATTCACACAATACTAAGCAGCCTTGGGGCTTCCCTGGTGGCTCAGAGGGTAAAGCATCTGCCTGCCATGTGGGAGACCTGGGTTCGATCCCTGGGTCAGAAAGATCCCCTAGAGAAGGAAATGGCAACCCACTCCGGTACTCTTGCCTGGAAAATCCATGGATGGAGAAGCCTGGTAGGCTACAATACAGTCCATGGGGTCGCAGAGTCGGACATGACTGAACGATTTCACTTTCAAGCAGCCTTGAATTGCACAGCCATGAGGTTCAGGTGTCACTATTCTCCTGTTACAGAGGATGAGTTGAGGCTCAGAGAGGTTGCCTTACTTGCCAAAGAGCACACTACAAAAAGCAGCAGGTTCCCACTCTGTTGCTGACTCAATGGTCAGCAATAGGAGCTGGCCCAATGCTGAGGAGCCCTGAGCTGCCGGCTCTCAGCAAATGTTCTCTGGTGACTGACAGGTGAGAGAGAAGGTAGCAAGATCCTGACTGAAGACCTTGTCCTGCTGCCAACGAGCACGGCCTCGAAGCCGAGGGTCTCCAGCCCGTGCATAGGCTGGGCACCCTCAGATGTGCACCTTTGTTTACTCTGCTAACTGGGTCGACCACTTTGACCTCTCGAGTCTATGGTAGCCAGAGGTGACATCACCGTATTACTAGGGTCTAAGATCTACATTACTTTGCATTTGTTGTATTCTCAGAACCCCAAACTGGCTCATTTTGTAGGAGATAAGAGAAGGAAAATTTGGATAGCAGTAGTAGCAAGTCACTTAACCTTTGAAATTTTCAAAAGTATTTTTGGTATGTTCTTTCACAAACTAAGGAAATAACCAGAAGGGCATGCAAATTACCTTTAATACTTTCTAATCCCAGCTGCCTGTGTGTTATTTCAAAATTTAACATGGTAAGTTACCATTTTTAATGAAGGTATAAAATTTTTTAATACACGGATGAGACAGGCACAGTGAGTTGAAGGTGACTGCTGACCATTCTAGTGTAGATTTCTAATGTTTCTGTTGTATAAGCAGAGGGGAGCTTAGCTCCTCAGTTCTCAGCAGGTAAGTGGACATAGTAAAGGATACGAGTTTTTCATTTTAATGGCTGTGTGAACTGCAGATGGACAATCCATTTTTTTTATAACTCTAACTGGATTGCACAGAAACTTGTTTGTCACAAGCAAATCAACATTGTACAAACTAACAGGGATTTCTAACATTCTTTATTTTCTCATAGTTCGCAAGAGACGAGTTGAAGGAGACCACCAATAAGTCTGCAAACCTGTCATATTTGGAAGACATTGAAAGATCACCGAGGGTTCTTGTCATATCAGATGTAAAATTTTCCTGGGTAGAAGGGAAAAGACTGGAAATCTTTTTTTTTCTTTTTTTAATTACATGTATCTTTTTTTCTAGTTTAAGGTTGTTACCAGTTTCAAACTGTAAAATCAATAGTAGGTGATATTTTGTATACTAAAGCATTATTTCTGCTAAAATTGATTTTAATTTAGCTTAATTAAATGTTTTGTGATGAGTTGGGTTAAAAAAAAATACAGTTGTAAAAAAGTTTAGGAAGTCATTTATGTAGAATAATATGAACATTTTAAGGACCAATATTTTTTAAGTCAAAAAGGGACATTGCTGATGTCAGAACTGCTGTCGTACTTCTTAGGTACAAGGCACTTCAAAGCTTTCCTCATTCCATGGCATGGAGACTTTTCCATGTTTTCTAGAACACACACACTTCTTTCTTGAAAAAAGCAAAATGCTAACATCTTAAAACAGATTACTTAAAACTTGGTCATCTGTCTTAAGAGTCAAAGCAGGTCTCTAGACGAGAGGAAGCGGTCTCCAGTGCCTCCCGCACACTGCACCTGTCTGGGGTGTCTCAGCACCTACAGTTTTTTTAAACAAAGTCATCAGCTTGGCTAGGTTACACACTTTGTTTAAAAAGTAGTTATGGGTCCTGCATGGGATCCTGACCAGAGAAGGATGTTAGGTAATAACTAAGGAAATCTGAATAAAGTGTCAGTATTTGTTCAAAAAAAAAAAAAAGTAGTTATGTCAAAAAATAAAAAGTAGTTATGTCTAAATTCATTACAGGCTTTCATTTTAATAATGTGGGCATTATTAAATTTTTGTGAAAGTTCACAGTAAAAAAAAAAATCTGAGTAGGAAAGCTGTTTTCTTCCCTGTAAAAGGCATACAGCTCACTCTGTTATTTAGGGTAAAAGGAAAAAAAGAGCAGTTGTTAAACACATGAAATCAGACTTATTAGATGGTGGAGATTAAGTCTTAGGAGCATGCAGAACGGTCCTTTAAATTGATGGTTACTCTAAAGTAAATTAGAAGCTGACCTGCGTATAAATTAAGAGTTTACACAGGATAGTAAGATGTTCCTATATGCAGTGCAGAGTTGTCTGGATGGTATACAATCACCCCTTACTACAGATTTTCCAACCAATAAGGAAAATGACTATTCTTGATAAATCTAATTTTTATTAACTGTTTCCTTTCATCTTGAACTTTTTGGTCCATACTGTATAAAAGTAGTTTCTCATAACAAGATGTCTTCCTACCACTCAAAGTATTAAAGTGAGTGGTTGAACAGTGAGGTTTGGCGGGCAGGCCACTCCAGGTCCAGTAGTGTGATAGTCAGTGTGGACCTGTATTCATGCCAGGTTCCAGGGCGGTCCCGGGAGCAGGAGATGGCAAAGACCGTACAGCTACAGAGGACAGGGCACAGTTGTTCAGATTGTGAACAATTCAGGCCTGACTGTGTCACTTACAGGGAGATTTTTCTAAAGGGAGGAATCTCTTTCCAGAATAGGGGAGAGATGCGTTCTTAATTTTTTTTTTTTAAACTTCTTGAAACCAAATTATAAAAGTCTGCTCCTTTGTCTTGGGCTAGACAGTTTGTCTCGAGTTAGATGGCTCCCTATATGCTATAGAAATAAGCCTTCTTGAAAGGTGAAAGCTTTCCTCATAAGGACTGGGTGTGAGTTTCTTTGGAATCAGCATCCAGTGTTTGAAAGGGGCCAAAGATTGACTTTGCACTGTTCCACTATTCCCTTTTGGTTATAGGGTGCTGGAGATTTTTTCCCCCCCCCCAAGTTAGCAAGTCAAGCTCACTCTCACTGGCTCTTTCCTTCTCCTTTTTCATAAATGACTTTGGGAATGTACTTGATTTTTAGAGACTGCACAGTTCCAACAGAGCGGGGAGTTGGCCTGGAGCAGGAGTACAGAGCTGCCAGTACACATTTAGCAAGGCTTCCTTTTTTGCCCTGCCCTGTAACTCAATAAATTGATAAGTATGTTACCCTGTCTTCCCAAAAGTCTTTTTTTTTTTTTTTTTAATATAGGTAGGTAGGGCCCCACAATTCTGTATTATACTTATGGGTAATATCTTTTCAGTTATTATTTATCAAAGTATGAAGAAGTTGAGTGTTTTGCTTGTACCATTCCAGTTCTGAGCTACAACATATATAATGGAAGAAAAGATTTGTTAATAAATAACTAAAGGTGAACATTCATCTATACGAATACAGAATATCTTTCACAAATTGTAACACAAGGGAGAAAACGGATGTTTACTTTGATCTTTAAAAATCTGGCACCTCTCAAAAAAAAAAATCTAGCACCTCTCAAAAAAAAAAAAAAATCTAGCACCTCTTATCCTTTTAGTAACTTTCAATATTTCTATATTGTGCTAAAATTTTATAATAGAATTGTGAAGTAGTCTTGATTTTTAAACCAAAGATCTTCTAAGACATTTAAGTTTTTATAATGTAACCAGTATAGACTTAGCTTGTTATTCAAGCAGACTGTTCTTTGCGTTTTTAAATTGCTGTTTTTTAAAAACCTTTTAATTTCACATTTTTTAAAATTTTATATTCATATTTGTCAGAAGTTACAATTTTTCCAGTTTGTCTACATGAAATTATTATGTATTAAAATCAATATTAATGATATTATTAAAATGGATTTTGGTGCTATATACTTGTAGCTAAAAGTAGAAGTCTAAAGAATAGGTGGAATACATTCTCTAAGGGTGCCTGTCATTTAAAAGACCAAATAAACATTTTGTGTTTAAAAAAATTAGATTGTTAGAAATTCTAAGGAGAATTACCTTGGTTGTTAAATTGCAGATTCTCATGATTTGAATGAAACAACCCACATACTTGCTTTGTGCAGTAGGTACTCCCTCAAAAAGTTAACAGGTATAGAGCTTTGTAAATTCTTTTTTCTATTGACAGTATCTGATGTTCTTTCATTTAAAAAGTGGAATCCATGGTATAAAGAAAATTATAAAAGAAAACATGTTTTGATGGAAAGTTATGTCCTATTGTACTTTATTTTAACCCTTGCTGCCATTAAAATAAGATTAAACAATTCATGAGATTTCATAAAATTGTAAAATTTTGGCTCTGTGGTCCTAGAACTTCTAACTTTTTCCTTATAAAATCAGGAACCACTATTATCTCCTGGCAGAAAAAAGGATCATTGTTTTTCTGGAATCTTAGCAGTTTCCATCTCTGTAAGTTCAGTACTGTCTCATTTTCCTCCATTACAATGTCACGTCACTTAAAATATTTTTTCTAGTTTTATTGAGATACTTAACATATAACATATTTTAAGGTACAAAACGTAATGATTTGATATATGCACATACTTACAAAATGGTTACTACAGTAAATTTAGTTAACATCTGTCACTTCACATAGTTTTTTAAAATTTTTTTCTTGTGATGAGAACTTTTAAGGAACTTTCAAATATGTAATAATACAGTATTATTAACTGTCATCACTATGCTGACATTACATTCCTAGGACTTATTTTTCTTATAACTGGAGGTTTATACCATTTTAACCACCTTCGTCCATTTCACCAACTCTCCACAGCCCAACTCTGGCAACCCCCAGTCTGTTCGCTGTATCAATGGATTTAGTTTTTTAGGTTCTAATACATGAGATCATATAGTATTTGTCTTCCTTTCAGATTTGTTTCACTTAACATAATGCCCTCAAGGCCACTCCACTTTCAAATAGTATTAACTGAAGACACAGCACCCACAAGACCCAAACACATTGGATGTGTCAGAGCAACTCCTATCAAGGGGTGTGAGTTCTTCAGTCTAAACATCCACAGAACCCTCTTTTCCATCACTTCTCACTGAACATTTATGTTTCTAGCTACTTCTCACTCAAAGGAACTCTTCACCAAGTCTTAAATTGAGACAATTATATTTACAATCAGCAGAGAATTTATATTCTTATGTCATTTTAATTTGGTCATTCTTTCTTATGTCATATTTCTTGTGTGTTATAATTTAGTTCTCTATGTCTTTTCCTACAAAAACTGAACACATTGGAAATTTTTTATAATAAAACATTTACAAGTTTGTTAATGCTAAACTCTAACATGCAGCCTGATCATTCAGAGAAGCCAATCTTTAAACCCTTACCAAGCATTTTAGACAGCCTTCACTGATATATAAGGACTTTTACTTAGGCTATCTGCTCTGGTAGCTAGATAATAGATTGTAACACTGTGAAACACCACCAGCCATGTTTTGTATTTAGCACTATTGTTCAAGTTCGTACACTTTTAAGATAATCAGACTCTGTTAGAGTAGCCATGTGTGAGTGAGGCTTAACTTCCTTTTCTACAGACTATCAGTATGTTTTAAATGCTGCAAAGCAATTAATAGGTCTAAAATTTTTTTGTCAGATATTGTAGTTCATCAGACAGTAAGGTTTAAAAACAAATTCTGAAAAAAATAAATAAATAAATAAAAATAAATAAAAACAAATTCTGGGTGCTTGTTGGTGGGTATGTAAAGCAGATTTTTAGGAGTTTAAATTTCCCCTTAAGTCGAAAGGAAAACAATTTGATTCAGCTGTTTAAACTTTTTAGATTTGTCTGTTTAAGAATTGTAAGAAAGATAAATTGTAAAGAAAATTGTGCATGCACACATGTGCATCCACACATGTATGTTTGTATATTCAGCAGAGTATATGAAAACCATTGTAATTTTGAGAAAGTGCCCACTTTTTTTTTAGTCTTTTGGATGAATTATATTTGGTTTCAGTTCAGTTCAGTCGCTCAGTCGTGTCCAACTCTTTGCGACCCCATAAAGGAGGACAGGCACGCCAGGCCTCCCTGTCCATCACCAACTCCCAGAGTTTACTCAAACTCATGTCCATCGAGTTGGTGATGCCATCCAGCCATCTCATCCTCTGTTGTCCCCTTCTCCTCCTGCCCTCAATCCCTCCCAGCATAAAGGTCTTTTCCAATGAGTATTTGGTTTCAGGTATGTTTAAAAGCTTGAAAATTACTTTTGTAACAGTGCATTCTTTGTCACATGAAATTGGGCATTTAAATACATTTTTAATGCTAAAATATAAAAATGCTGTAAATGCTTTTTCCATTTTAATAAAAAACTATTAGAAAATATTCATATTAATACTGGTTCATAATAGCACAGTGACTCTTCTTTTGAAGAATATGGACTGCAGGCATTTAGAATTTACCATTTCATATTGGAACAAATAATTTCAATAAAGTCTATCAAATATACTGTAGACTTAGACTGTTTGGAAAATCCCTTTAATTCCTGTGCTCTAAAGTTCACTGCATACATACCTTTTAAGAACAAATTTATTAATTTCCCTGAGTTATTCTGAAACTGTCAAAACTTGACCATTTATACCCATAAACTAGTAAGTTCATCTGGTTCAGTCTCATCCCCATCAGTACTCAGTCTGGTCTGTCTATAAAGTCAAATTGATTTTTTTTTTTTTTTAACTGAGTTGACAAATAGAAACAGGGACCTATGATACAGTGTGTTCTGGGCCTGAGGGGAGCCAATCCTGTTACTAGAGATTATTTCTAAGGTAAACTAAAGATATCGCTTATCAGTCACCTAAATCCACCAACCAAAAGAGAAAATCAGTGAAATGTGTAATGGGTTGAGGAAACTTTCAGGGATGAATATCAAATAATTCAACTTTGAAACTTAAGAATAAAGAAATTTCTCTTGAATCTTTAGTATTGGCTGGCTTTCCAAGAATGGCTGTTGGGCTTACGTTCACATGTGGGAAGCCTTGATGCCTGTCCCCTTTGGTGAGTCAGAGGCTTGGGTGCTTCAGTTGTCAGGTGACTTCGGCTCCTCCTCTGAGTGGCCGTGGAGACAGGAGCCGTGGCCGTGGGGAGAGTGCCTTCTTGCTCAGCCAGTGGCACCTCAGTCCTTTAGGTACCAAGTATTAAGCTTTCCAGCAACTCTGCAAGGGTTGGTGGCCTCTAGTCTCAGCCCAGCTTTAGCCCCAGTCCTGTTGCTAAAGTAGCGGAGACTCAAGGCCACCTCTATAAAGAATAGTCAACCTAACCTATAGATCTAATGTGATCCCCATCAAATTAACATATTTCATTTTTCACAGAACTAAGACAAATAATCCTAATATTTATATAGAACTATAAAAGACCCAGAATTGTCAAAGCAGTCTTGAGGGAAAAGAACAAAGCAGGAGGCATAACCCTCCCAGACTTGAGATAATACTACAGTAAGGCCATTGTGACCAAAACAGTGTGGTACTGGCACAAAAACAGACATCCTATTATATACAGGATGGATGAACAACAAGGTCCTACTGCATGTAACACAGGGGACTATATCCTGTGACAAACTATAATGGAAAAGTATGAAAAAATATGAAAAAACATGCTTATGTGTGTATAATTGAGTCACTTTATTGTACCAAAGAAATTAGCACAACACTGTAAATCAAATATACTTCAATAAAATGGTAAAGAATAGTCAGCCTTATGACTGAACTGTGGTAGTACCTCTCAGCATTTTGGATGAGTCTCTAAATGGACTTTCTGGAGCTGGTGCTAATTATGGCTGTGTTTACTGCACAGCTATGAAATTACACTTTAAATATATAAAAGGGAGGGAATTATAATGTATACCCAGGTTTTCTGCATGGTAAGTGGGCCATTTTTCTTTGACCTTTTCTATTTAACAATAAGACTTTAAAAAAAACCGAACATATCTAATTTTTCACTTCTCAGAAGTAGAGGAATATAAACATTAAATCATGAAAGATTCACAGTGGTCAAGTCCAAACCCCAGCAAGTTGAGCAAACTGACTTCAGAGAAGTTAACTTGCGCAAGGTAACATCATTGGTTTGTATAGTCAACAAAAAAAACTTTAGGTACCTATTATGTTCCAGCTACTGCACTAGTCAAAAAGCTAGAAGTCAAATCTAGTATTTTGTTTCCCACTACTCTTGTTTTCTCTAAACTTCTGGTGACCATTTCTCTCCGGTATTTGGGATGTCTTTCTCCCAAGGTCAGTAAATACACCTGCTCAGCAGTGTGATGACTGTTGCAAATAAGTTCCTGATCCTTGTCTCAAAAATGCTTTTTTTTTTTTAACTTGAGAAGAAAAAGCTTTGGACAGAAGTCTTAAGTTCTAACTTAGCTTCTACATCTGTAATATGAGAACAACAGCACCTGCCCTTGATTTGTTCTGAGGATTGGAACTGGTAAGGCCCATACAGCACATAACAAAGCATTGAGTCTCCAAGAGCTCTCTTGTGCTGTGCCTGCTCTGACAAAAAAAAAACCCAAGACACAGCGCAAACTGTTACCAAAATGGTCTCACCTGGGAACAATGGATTTTTCTAAAGTCACAGATTTGCTTCCAAACATTTTAAAACCACAACTAGGATTATGCAAAAGGAACTCAGTTCCTCACTTCAATTCCAAGTCATTTTATCATTGTTTTAAAGCCAGCAGTTGAAAACCATATTTATAGTGAGTACACGTTTTATGCTTCAGTCATCCTCTTCCTCTTCACCCCCTGCTTTCCTCTTTCTAGAGGGTTCATCTGAACAGACAACAAGAGAGAAGGTGTAAAATTCAATCCTGAATGTTTCTGGGAATTCTGTCTAAAGTAGTTCTGAGCTGATGGGGGAGCCAGCCCTTCAAGTTAGAACTCAACCCCCCAGCGATGACCTTGTCCACAGAGCCTGTCTCTACAGGTCAGGCAAGGGGAGCTCCGACTTCCAGCGGTCAGGGCCAAAGGACACGTCACTATTTTGGTGTGGATTTCCCTCATTACTACTTGAAATATGTTCCTCAGCTTCCTCAGCACTTCACTTTCTCTATCTAAAATTCACTATTTTAAAGCCTGTTGATTTTTCTGCTTGTATTTTATGTGCTTTTTTCAGTATGGTTTCCAAGTTTTAAATAGGTTTTTTCGCATGAAAAATGAGTGCTTCTCTTACATAGTAAGAGCCATTTCTGTTACTGAGATGTTTTCTCTGACCTATAACTCAAGACCCATAGTGGAGTGTGTTATGGGTTCAGAAAACACTGGATAAATTAATATGGTACAATGGCAACAACAGAGTGATTCATTTGTGTAATTAAGACTTAAAATTTCTTGTGATCTTTAAGTGGAAAAGGAAATAGATAATTTTAATAACATAGAAATGAAATAACCCTGCACTATTATTATGCTCATGGTGATCGTGAGAGGCCCCTTGATCTATTTCACTGAACTACTTCTAGTTCTCTAGTTGGGCCCTGGTGTCTCAGCCACATGTCTTTTCTCACAAGCCTTTCTGTCCACTGGCATACCCACCCTAACACTTCCTTCAACACCCAACGAGAAGATGACTGTTCTGGACTGCCTCCCACTGCACACAGGTGTCAGGCGTTCCTCTGGGCCACGCCTAGGCTTGTTACTGCATGCATCTCACTGAGTTGTAGGGAGATGTGTAGACACCTGTCTGTGCTCCTGGGCTGTGAGCTCCTTATTCTGGGAGTAGGCTTGTGGCTGCAGGGAAACCCCTTCAGATTGAATAAACTTGGTTTTACCTCATCAATGGTGAGTTTCTTTGCTGTCAGTGATCTCTGAGCCCCATCTTCATCTGGTCCCTCATCACTCTCTGGAGAATATATTCTGGCCCCTTCCTCTGAAAGCAAATTTGGGGACTTTAGATATGGGACTGACCTTCAAAGATGAAGACCCATTTATTCCTGAAAAAAATTTTTTTTTTTTACTGTTGAATGTTGTTACTTCCCACTGTGTATTTCCCTTTGTTGAGATGCCAACCATTTTTTTAAGTTTTCATGAAGAGATACGTACAGCTTTCAAACATGCTTAAATGACTTATATTGGAGAGGTTTTTTTCCCTCAGAGAGACTGATCACTTTTAAATACCTGAAGGGCTGCACACACACATTTTTTAAAACTACAAAGTTTAACACTGGGTCCTTAATTATACAATCAGGCAAACTGCCTATTATACATTTTTTACCATGAGGACATAAATTATTTAGTTGATTTTCTTAATTATGGGGGTGCCTTATTTTCCCAGCCAACTTTTCATGTGAGAAAGTGGTCCTAACAAAAACAGAAGAAAAGGCCTTTGTATTGTTGTCCTCAGTGAATAACAGCAGGAAAGACACTCAGTGGTTACCGGAGCATAAGTGGTCCCACCGCCCTGAGGTGATGGAAGCACGGCCTCCTTACCAGACTCCCCTCCGCGTTCCCCTTGGTCGTGGTTTTTGACGGCTTCACCCTCCTCGTCACTGTTGGGGCCCTGGTAGGGGGCACTTGGCCCCGCCTGGTTCTGCAGACAGATTGTCTCCTGGTGAGCAGAAGCCCTCAAACGTGCTGCTTCTTTCTGTAAAGACAAAAAAAGATGAATTCACTTAGTGCCCGCTTGAAACTAAAGAACATGAAAATGCCTTGCCCGGGATAACACCAGTTCCTATGTCCTCACAGTGAGTTCTCTCCATTTCACATCTGTTACCACACGTGGTATCATCATGTTCAATTCTAAGGTGTGAAGACAACACAGGGTGAAGAGGCAGAAGGCTCCCTCACACCAACTGCCCCATCACAACTGGCACGGACACGGCCTTGGGAGCTGCAGCGTCCCCTCTGCTGCCAGGAACAGTCCAGACGGCACGACCAGCCTGAGGAACCTCGTCCGTGCCCAGCGGATGCCTGAGGGAGGCAGGTTCTCTTCACCCTGAGACACACACCTGAGTTGCCAGGCTCCACCAAACTACCATGGCGCCCAGATATTCCTGCCTGGGGCCCTCAACCCAGGGCACTCCCCACAGCTGCTGCTGGCAGGATGAAGGGGGTGCTGGTGGGGAGGGTCCCTGAGTCCCAAAGTAGAGCCTTTGTTCCCTTCCACCCACCTGACTTCCACATGTTGGGTTCCACAGGTGGGGCCAGTGTTGACAGAGTCAGGAATGTCCTTCTGACCTTCCAACATCACCTCCCCTCTGGCTAACACAGTCTAATAATATGTGTCAAAGCTTACATTTGTTAAAAAAAAAAAAACTGTCAGTTTCCCTCTGAGAGCTCATAGATTGGAGAGAGAACACCTGAGGGTCTGGATTGCTGTGTCTCACCACTGGCCCATTGACTGACCATTCCTACGGTTAACCACACACTTGGAAGCTTAAGCTGGCTCCCTGATAACTACAAGAAATAAAATGGCTGTGACAATAAGAAATGATGATTTAATATTCTAAAAAGCACAGCTCTTAATGCCCCAAACAATCCTAGGATAAAGCTCAGCCAACATACCTTAATCAACTCTACACGCTGGCATTCAGGATCAGGACCCGCCACTGGTAAGATTCTAATCGTCTGCATCCTTGAGCATCTACTAGCAAGTGGCAGGGTCACCTTTTTATGTGTGGCATAGTCTGTAGCATGAGGTCTGCGGGAAACAGACAAAAATGACTCACTGTTTACTGAGAACATTTGCAGGCAACCACACCAACAGCAAACAGTGGCAGACAGTAACATCAGCACCCGCAGCCCTTTCCTCTGGCGCATGCGCAAACCAAGAGCATGCTCGCAATCAGCCGGCTTCCCAGGTAAACGTCCCTGAAGAGAAGGGACACGCTGACCAGCAGAGTGGCACAGACAGTTTAGGCCTCTTACCAGGTGTGCTGATCAATGTGAATTAATAACTGGTCTTCTGGTTTAGACAGCAGTCTCGTGTTGGTTTCCAAACCGTGAACTGGCTCCCTGAGAGACAGGAACTTGTTGCAAAGGTGAAAAACGGCATGGGAACCAGACCATGGGCCTTGGGGAGCTGCACCTCAACATCACATCAGTCAGGCTCTTTGCACATCCAGCCTCTCTAACCTGTTGCTCAAACTGCCAAGCAGCAATAGGTCACTATGAATAGTTACCTGAAGGTGAGTTTGGATTTAAAGACAGCTTGTCCCTGCAGACCAGTGTCTTCCCTGATGAACAGGTGGTTGTGATTGGCCTGCATCGGGGCCTTGTAGACATCAAACACCTCGTTGCCTAAATGTAGGGACAGGCTGGAAACAGAAATAGTTCAGTTATTAGGATGGAGAGTTAACAAATCCTATAGCTTCCATTCTGTCATGTTGTTTAGTCGCTAAGTTGTGTTCGACTCTTTGCAACCCCATGGGCTGTAGCCCGCCAGTCTCCTTTGTCCATGGGATTCTCCAGGCAAGAATACTGGAGTGTGTTGCTATTTCCTTCTACAAGGGATCTTCTCAACTCAGGGATCAAACCTGCATCTCCTGCATTGCCAGGCAGGTTCTTTATCATGAGCTGCCAGGGAAGTCTCCTCTACCCTGCTAGCAATTTTTAAAATGCTGTGGAACTGCAGGATCCTGTCCCCATACTGAAGATTTAAGACAGACAAAAGATACTAGAAACAACTAACCTACCTCCTTTCAAAGTAAAAGGTGGTAAAATCCATTTTCTTTTCAACTTGAAATCTAATTATCATTTCCCAATCTCTAATACCTCATTAGTAAAATAGAAATCGTTTTTTCAAACATACCAATCTATAAAGTCTAATGGTCACATATGGGTGCTGACATTAGGTTTTCATCTCAATAAGGTGGATACTGTGAATTTGATCACATCTTAGGTCTATGTCTAGAGTCGCCCAGCACAGCACTGTGATCTCAACCCTGCTTCAGCATCAGTCCTTCCAGTAAATATTCAGGACTGATTTCCTTTAGGATGGACTGGTTGGATGTCTTGCTGTCCAGGGGACTCTCAAGAGTCTTCTCCAATACCACAGTTCAAAAGCATCAATTCTTGGGCATTCAGCTTTCTTTATAGTCCAACTCTCACATCCATACATGACTACTGGAAAAACCAAAGCTTTGACTAATGGACTTTTGTTGGCAAAGTAGTGTCTCTGGTTTTTAATATGTGGTCTAAGAGGCCTATATTTTGTTAATTCTGTAATAAAAAAAAGATCCCCAAATATGGTCCTACACAGAAAACTTCATTTATCCCGGGCCTCCCTCTGGGTGTTTCCATACTCCTCAGGCCTGTGCTCACCTTCCATCCGACCACTTGACTATCCGAGCATTGCTTTCTTTAATTTTATTTCCATCTTTATCCCGGCATATCCTCCATCGTATAGTATTTTCTATCTGATTTAAAACACAAAGGCATACAAAACCAGTTGGTAAAGAATCTGCCTGTAGTGCAAGAAACCTAGATTTGATCCTTGGGTCGGGAAGATGCCCTGGAGGAGGGTGTGGCAACCCACTCCAGTATTCTTGCCTGGTGAATCCCATGGACAGAGGAGCCTGATGGGTTACAGTTCATGGGATCGCAAAGAGACATGATTGATCGACTAACACTTTCACATACAAAACCAGTGTTACTGACTGCATGTTCTTTTCTTCTCAAGTGATTTATAATCACATGCCAAGAATTCATAGGTGGTGAGAAAATAAGCTCACTGAAAAATAGATGATTAGGCAACATGGAAACCCTCCTACTACAGATACCTAGAGACACTGGTTAAACTCACCAGTCATTCTGTTTTAATCTTTCCTGAGTTCCACCATACGGCAGCGGAAGCAAACCCTTAGGGCCCATATGAGGTAGGAGGTTATAACTGAGATTTCTATTGCAGCCCCACTTGAAGGGTTATGAACCCAATGAAAGAAGGACTAAAGAAGGGCCCAGTAGGTAAGAAAACTCTGAGCGTTAATTTTAAAAAAAGTAATTAAGTAATAAACAATAAATTAAAACCTAAGACTTTTGCTTTACTCTACCCATACGGTGAGGAACTCCAAATTACAAAAGTAGTAAAAGAATGGTTCCTGCCACTGCTACCACTGTGGCCTCTGGGAGACGCTCATTCCACACCCGGTTAAAGACAATGCTACTCCTATGAGAGCAATGGTAGGGTTTTGCTTTCCAGGTCCTCTCAAGGGGAACCCCCTAATGACAAGACCTCTTCTCTGTGCATAAGCTGAATTTCCATAAAGAGTTTGAGATATTTTTACTATGAGAAGCAGCTCAGACCTATCCATGATAAAATATGGAGGGGCAGTTCTGTATATCTAGCTATATTATTATTTATCCTGAAGGAAGTGAAAGTGAAAGTGAAGTTGCTCAGTCATGTCCGACTCTTTGCGACCCCATGGACTGTCTAGCCTACCAGGCTCTTCAGTCCATGGAATTTTCCAGGCAAGAGTACTGGAGTGGGTTGCCATTCCCTTCCCCAGGGGATCTTCCCAACCCAGGGATCGAACCCCAGTCTCCTACATTGCAGGCAGACACTTTACCGTCTGAGCCACCAGAGAAGCCCAAGCTAACAATTTTCAAGAATTCTTATCTTGACTCCTGTCAAAAAATTACAACTGCCAAAGAAAGGTTAGAAAAGGGATAATTCTACAACAATTTTTTAAAAAGGATATGTACCTTCTCTCCTAAAAATATTCTGAAAAGACACTTAATTCCTCATTCTAAACAGTTATTGATTAAAAAGTAAACATAAAGATCATTTTGTAAGTTCATTTCAAACTGTTATTCCTGTGTTTTACTTTATAAAAAGCTTTAAAAAAAACAGGAATAAAGTGTGGAATGGTACCTTTAATTTTAACCTGGTTCTCTCTTCTTCATCAAGCATTTTCTTATTTTCAAATTCATCTTCATAATACTGAGGATCAAAAGGCCTAAAAATTGTTTTTTAATGTTGTATTAGCCATCTTTAGTATGAATATAATACTATAAAATAATAGTCTTTATAACATGTACCAATGTTAAAAAAAATCACAGTAGACAAATAACTTCAAGTAAAACTTCAAAGAAGTATGCAAATTACTTTTTTCTTAAAATTTTATTTAAAATTTTTTTTGCCTGAAAAAAATCCAAATGTGACTAAATAATTCAAAAATTTTAAGTTGTTTTCTTGTTTGGGAAAAGTATAAATGTATACCTCTAAAGTATAGGTGACACATGATCTACCTTTTCATATTTTTTAAGAAAGGTGTCATGTTTAACTGCACAAGAGCTTGCACTTGTAAACTATCATGATACCCATCCACACTATTTTGTTTTCAAATATCATCATCTTTTCTAGATTCACAATGGCTTTTGCATTGAACTTTTGTGATTTTTCCAGCAAACTTTCTCACCTTCGTTTTCCAATTTTTCAGCTTTATGAAAATAAAAAACAGGTTCATCAGCTATGATATCTGCTCATTGGTAAGAAAGTGCCAAAATGCTAAAAGAATTATTAGCAGTAAAGCTTTCTCATACCAGTAAATTCATCATTTTCTACCATAGCACACCCTAAATTTATTTTTTCATAGTTACATGAAAAATCTCCCACCTTTGTGATTAGCCAACACATTACCACAACAAGAATATTTACAGTCCACATACTTTTACTCAATATCTTGCAGGAAAAATAAAACTTTAAGTCACTCCTCTTACTTGGATTCTATGCTGAGATATTTGGGTAGTTTAACAAAGTACAATTCATTTCCTAAATCAGAGTTGATATTAGGAATTTCTACTTCTATTTTGGTTTCAGAAATCGGCTCTTCCTCCTGCTGGTTCTGAGGCACTCCACATGCATCCTAAGAAAGGAATCAGAATGTGAGAGCTTGAAGTGACATTAGAAATGCTCTAGCTGTCCTTCCACAACAGGCAGAGGCAGGTTTGACAGGACGTAAATTTAGAAACCACTTCAGAGATAAAGTAGTCAGCAGCCCCTCCGGCCTCACCTCAAAATTTCATCCTGTCTCTATCCTACTCCCCAAAAACCACCATGCAAAACAAGACCTGTCAGCCTGCATTACCAGAAAAAAATGCTGACATACCTAGTTTTCATAAGATATTTAGCAACACAAGTGTGAAATTATACAGTCCTTCAATACTAATTAAAATCAGAGAAAAATGTCAAACAATACACACTTCTCAGCACAAGTTTGCGTAAGAAAAGCTTTTGAATCAAAGGTTTTCAAATTATGAGTCCTCACAGTCTAGCCCCTAAAGTTTGGCATCAAATTCATTCTGAGCAATTCCTTCTATGCCCTTTAATATCCAGAAATTCCCAACATAACTAAGAAAGTCACCTATTCATCAGATGTTCCAGACTCTCTCTATATGAAAGAGTCAGGCCCATCAGCCTCTGAAACTTTTCTTAGCTTTGAACAATGGGCTCAGTTGAGATTTGTACTTACTGTAACAGGCTGTCTTTGAATGGGTGGTTGATTATCCCCATCACTGTCTGAAGAAATGTCATCTATGTCTCCAAACAGATCCATTGTCCCACTATAATCTTCAATGTTGGGAAAGAATGCATAGTATTAATTTCTCTTGACTGAAGTTCTTCACATAGTTCTTGGCCCATCATTTCACTATATTCCCAACATTCATAAACCAAATCTCTATTAAGCCATCCTGAAACTGGTTCCATGAGCCTGGGCCTCAGAAGCCTAACAAGCAAGAGTGACTACAGAGAAGGAAAATGGCAGTTAGTTGGTGGAAGTTGCTGTGATGGCCAGCTTTCAAGGTGGAGCCCAGGGATTCCTGCCTCTGGTATTCTTGCCCTTGTGCAGTCCCCTCCAACAGGCATCATGATTGGTTTATGTGATCCACAGAATACAGCTTCACTTCCGAGGCTCAGCATGATATCATGGCCTTTCTGCCTCACTCTTCCTCCCTTGGGTCACTTGCTCTGGAGGAAGGCAGCTACCACGATGTGAAGACACATAAACTGCCACGGAGAGGCTCATGTGGGGAGAAACTGAGTCCCCCCGCCCAAGCGCCATGAGTGAGCCATTCTGGAAACAGATCCTTCAGCCTGAGATAACGTCCTGACTCAATGTTGAATGAGCCAACATCCTGACTAAAGCCTTGCAAGAGACCCTGGGCCAGGGCTACACCACCCCTGACCCTTAGGACTGTGAGAAACATGAAATGTTTGTTATTTTAAGCTGACCTTCTCAGGGAATGTAGTTGGGGAAGGTGAGGGGTGGTGTGCAGGTCATACAAGACATATCTACTTCGACACTCCTGTCTCCCTGTTTTTGGATTCCCTCTGCACAATGCCAGGGAAGCTTTGGTATCTCCACTTCATTAAATGTAGGCCACCACTGAGTGTTTTTAGTTAACCAGTCAAGTACAGAGCCATCTCCAGAATATATAAGTGCACCCGTACCAGTAAATTTGGCCCAAGGTAGTCAAGTGTTTTTCCTTCATCTCATATTCTTAAGAATCCACTTTCCCACATATTCCCCAGGCTTTTGCCCATATGTATTAGCAAAACCTTGCAATTGTTTTGATGTATAAGCTATTTCTTCTTCAGTTGAAGTTTACGTTTTCTTTGCCAGTGTATAAGATCCTAGTGATGGATCTATTGGTAAAAATTGGGTTAAGACAGCACTAAGCTGAGTGTTCTTGAGGAGAATGAAAATTGTCCCAAGTGATGTTATTACAGGATTTTCAAGCAAGACTATTTTCACAACCTACTGAATGGGAGAAAATATTTGCAAATGATATGACCAATAAGAGTTTAATATACAAAATATATCAACAGGTCATCCAACTCAATATAAAAAAAAATCTGATTAAAAAATGGGCAGAAGACATTAATAGACATTTTTGCAGAGAAGACATAGAGATGGTCAACAGGCACCTTAAAAAATGCTCAACACTGCTAATCATTCAGGGAAATAGAAAGCAAAACCACAGTAAGATATCATCTCATTGAATAGCTACCATCAAAAAGTCTATAGGTAGCAAGTATCAGTGAGAATGCGGAGAAAAAGAAACCCTTGTATGCTGTTGTGGGGAATGTAAACTGGTGCAGCCACTATGAAAAATAGTATGGCGTTGTTTGCTCAAAAAACTAAAAATAGGGGCGTCCCTGGTGGCTCAGTGGTAATGAATCTGCCTGCCAATGCAGGAGACATGGTTTCAATCCCTGATCCAGGAAGATCCTATGGGCTGCAAAGCAACTAAGCCCGTGTGCCACGAATATTGAGCCTGTGCTCTGGAGCCCACAAGTTGCAGCTACTGAGGCCCCGCCCCTAGAGCCTGTGCTGTGCAGGAAGAGAAGCTACCACACGGAGAAGCCCATGCACCACAACTAGAGAGCAGCCCCTGCTCACCTCAACTAGAGAAAAAAGCCCGCATAGCAATGAAGACCCAGCACAGCCAAAAATAAAGTTTTTTTTAAAAAAACTAAAAATAAAACTACCATCTCTTAATTTTACTCCTTAGTTTATATCTGAAAAAAAAAAAACAGAAACCCTAATTTAAAAAGATACATGTACCCCAATGTACCTAAATGTACCTAAATGTTGGCAATATTTACAATAGCCAAGATATCAAAATAACCTGTCCATCAACAGATAAATGGATTTAAAAAAAGATATGGTGTGAATATATATATAATGAAATATTACTCAGCCATTAAAAAGGAATGAAATTCTGTCACTTGCAACAACATAGATGGACCTAGAGGGTATTATGCTTATTAGTGAAATAAGTCAGACAATGACAGATACAGTATGTTATCACTTATATGTGGAACCTGAAAAATAAACCAGTGAATATAACAAAACAGACTCACAGATATAGAAAACAAACTAGTGGTTACCAGTAGGGAGAGGGAAGTGGGGAGGGACATAATAGGGGTAGGGAATTAAGAGGTACAAACTACTATACATAAAATAATAGATTACAAGGATATAGTGTACAGCACATGAAACATAGCTAATATTTTGTAACTTTAAATGGAGTATAATCTATAAAAATATTTTAAGAACTATTTTTGTACACCTGAAACTAATAAATCAACTATATATTAAAAAAAAAACTATTAATAGTTTTCCTCGGACATAGGGAGGCAAACTGCTTCTCACAGGCAAGGGAGGCTCAAAGAGACTACAAACTTTGTTTTTCACCTTCGTCTGAATCCAAACAGATATTCCCATCCTGTGACAAATCATAATGAATAACAATATAAAAAAGAAAAAAAAAGAATATAAAAAAGAACATATACATATAACTGAAATACTTTGCTATACAGCAGAAGTTAACATTGTAAATCAATTCTTCAATTAAAAAAAAAAGCCCAACCTATCTTGTAAACTTTCTGTAAGTGCTCCAGGGCACTCAGAAGTATGCACCCCATACCAGTCCTTAGTCATCAGGACTGCCTAACAAGTGTAGCAGCCACTTGAGCCCTCAACCACAGGGGATAATCTGACTCATCAGGATGCCAAGGCTTCACCATTTCCCTTTGGTAAGGAACTCAGAGATGCATTCAAACCCAAACCAACCTATGCACCTCATCTTCAAGGATTTGCTTCCTGAGTGGTAGCACTCAGGTCCAAATTGGGCCACAGAAAACATACCCGTTGCTTATACAGATACATTTTAGTATTTTTTAAAAATCGCAATTAGGTTTAAAGCTGTTGATTTTGGTTACAAGAAATACAAAGAGAACTCCTCAGGGATGACAAAAGTAGCAAATTCAGAGAGCCACTTCCACCCTTAGAGATAAGGGAACAAAGGGAAAATGTAGAATTACTCCTAAACTTAAAAACTTATAACAAAGACCCTTGGAGCTGAAACTCATACCTGAGGAAGAGAAGCGTCCAGCTGGTACTGATGTCTCTCAGGAGTACAATGAAGCTGGCTCTTCCAGTCTCCGTAAAACTGCAAACTGGACTGAGCAGCTGTGGAAATAAACTGCCTCAGCTGAGGTGAACAAGTCCTGGTTGGCTCCCTTCAACAGGAAGCCCCCACAAAGTTCTATAAGCAAACAGGAAGGAGCAATCTTCTGTTTGTTATCCAGGCTCCCAGTTTTCTCCAGCGCCCCCTAACAGGGGGCAGCTGGCAAAGCCGAAATGTGCTTGCAGAGGCTTGACCCTTCACCACCAAGCTCTGCATAGAAGGGGCAGGTTTGGAGATCAGAGACTCCAAGAGCTTAGACATTGTCACATAAGTGTCTACTGGTGAAAAAAATAGAAACTGTGTTGTCCTAGAAAGGACAGAGTCAAAAATGAAGGCTCCCAAGGGCCAGACATCAGTTTCAACTCGATAAGCCAACAGCAAAGGGGCTACAGGTTTGTGAGTTAGGAAAGTGACACCAAGGTGGGTTCGGACCTTCTTCTCTTTCAGCGTCACTTCTCTATAGCCAGGCTTCAGGGAGAACCCCCCATAGACAGCCACCATTCCTGGATTGTATTAACAGCCCTAGTACATAATAGAAAAATTAGTCTGTGTACAAGAGCACTGGAGAAAATACAAATATGTGTCTAATAGATTTAAAATATATCTGCTAACTCAGCCATTTCTACTATCAAATGGAGTCATATTTCCCTCCCTCTGAATATGGGCTCACATTAGTGATTCACTTCCAGTGAACAGAATGTGGTGGATTCTGATGTGACTTTCAGTGCTAGCCATAAAAGGTACTCTCAAGAAAAGGTAAAACAGCTCTCTTGGGGTGCTCACTGTTGAAGCCTGTCACCATCTGTGAGAAAGCAGGGCCATGCCTAGGATACAACAACATTCACTGTAAGGGGTGCCAAAATCTCAGTGATCAAGATAAATAATATTGCAATACATTTTAAACCACAAAAAACCCCACTGAACAAAACATCAAAATTTTAAAGAGAGATGATCCATGGAGCTCTGTACTTGTATAACTCCTGTCACTTGCCTTACCCTAATCCCAGACCTGCTAGATCATCTTTATGTGAATTTTTGACATTTTGTCCATCATATTTTTGCATTAATTTTAATTTTCTAAAATGCTGTATCACAATGTTATTTAACTTGATTACTACAGTGGGCTGAATAGGGACCCTTCCAAATTCATATCCAACCAGAACCTCAGAATGTAATTTTATTTAGCAATAGGATCTTTGCTGATGTAATTATTAAGATGAGTGGACACAGGACTAGGGGTGACCCTAAACCACCAATGCGTGTCCTTAAAGGAGAGTGGGATCTGGCGACACAGAGCAGACACACAGCGAAACAACCCATGTGAAGATAGAGGGGAAATTAGAATGATGCTGCTACAAGCCAAGGACACTGGAAGCCTCCAGAAGCTAAGACAATGCAGGGGGAGGAGCCTTCCCTAGAGCCTTCAGAGGAAGCATGGCTCTGCTGACACCTTGATTTAGGACTTTAGGTTTCAGAACTATGAGAGGATACGTTTCTTTAGTGTGAAGTCTCCCAGTTTGTGGTACTTTGTTATAGCAGCCCTAGCAAACGAATACAATTATGGAAGCTTTTTGTGCCA